GAGGGGAACATACATGGTACAGTCAATTAAACAAATCCTCAAAAGCCATACTGTACAGTTTATTAGAAGGGGAAAGAAAATAGAAATGCTAGCAGCATTTAAGAGCAGCAACAGCTAAAAGCCATGAACACTTGAAGGCAAAGGGGGGCAACTTATTCTCAACTGACCACTGAAATATACCGAAAAGTGCTGCCAGTCAACTGACTGCAGGCATCCACCAGCTCCCTTAAACTATCAGTTACTTTATCTAAGGCAGTGGTCCCCAACCTTGGGCCTCCAGATGTTCTTGGACTACAACTCCCAGACTACAACCACCACCCCTGCTAGCCAGGATTTCTGGGAGTTGAAGGTACTTGGAGAGTGATAAAGCTGGATCTTCCTTAGTAATCTAGAAACCTGGCTGGTGCCATTTTGCCCAATAAGAATATAGCTCTCTCTCTCTCTCTCTCTCTCTCTCTCTCTGTGCGTGCGTGCGTGCGTGCGTGCGTGCGTGCGTGCACTGGGAGGCTAAACAAAAAAGGGTTATCAGGGTTCAAGCAACTTTAACAGATCCATAGGATCTGCTATCTCATTATGTGATCTTGTTCCATTAACCATTATTCTGAATGTTAATAAAGTAAACAAGAAGAAATCCTGGTTATGGGAACTATTATGTCCTACTTATATCTAACTAGAATTCTGGTAAAAAGGATGAAATCATTGAAACAAGGTACAAAAATTAATATTCTTTCAGTATGAATAGTATTAGTCTTCTGTAGTAATTTTGTACCAATGTTTAAAAACCTGGAGAAAAGCAGCACAAGGAGGGCAGATACACATCTGCTGTACTCTACTTGGAGAACTGAAACAAACATTTACAATGCCATATTATAGCAAGTATACACCTATGCGGGTAAACTGTCACCTTCAATGCTGCTGATGCACTGAGGGAATTTTATTGCACATTTAATAAAGGTCTAATAAATTTTATTGCACATCTAATAAAGGTATCAGTAATAGTGATTAAAAAATCTATTCAGCACATGGGTTTGTACTATTGAAGTCCATATTCACAAGGTGGCTGTAGGACTTCTAGGTAGAAAATGGCTTACATTGATTCACCACTGTAACAGAATTCTATCCCTCTTTGCTTTCTAAAACCATTTTCTGTGTTTTTCATGTCTCCTTTTTATATATGTTGCTGGCTGAACAGCTAGGTGAATTAAACATCTGGTTGTGGAGACATTGGAAAAAGACCCAGTTTGTATAGTCTTGGGCAAGCTGCACAGTCCCAGAGTGACTGTCTAGAAAAAGGCAATAGTACCGTATGATGCACATTCCCCCCCAAATAGTGGGGGAGAAAGTATGTGCGTCTTATGGAATAAATACAGTAAAAAAGGGGTTCAACCACCACCACCCAGAAGGCCCCCACTGCCATGCTGGGAGGCCTCTGAACTAGCACCAGAGACTGCTTGCTGTTTGGACCTCCCCATTCTGCACTGCTGGCTTTCTAGGATCTGCTTCCTGGAGCCCACCTGGAAAACCAGCAAGGCCAAGAGGCCTCTGGCAGCAGGCAGTGAAAACAGCCATGGACAAAAGGGCAAAGAGTAATTCTAGAAAAACCAGGGGAAACCACAAACACAGCCCCCCACTTAGGCAGTTGATTTTCCCGTATTTGGGGAAATCACAGGGGTCAGCACATCCAAAGTGCAATAGATGAGCCTCATCCTGGGGAAACCACTTTGATGATCGTGGTATCTCCCCTGCCATGTATGAGTTGGAATGGCCTCTGAACCTCCTGCCCCTTTCTGTGCCCTGTCCCCCAAAGGCATGGTGACCCCCTGGCTGCACCTCCTGATCAGAGCAGGGCTGCACAGCCCCAATCCCAAAAGAGGCCAAGAGAGCTACTCAGTGTTTTGGGGTGCCCCACAGGATCCCCATCAGGGGCTGGATGTTCCTCCCACAATCCTCCAGTGCACAGATATTAGCATACCTAATATGCGGGGAAGGCAGGGAAAGTGGGGAAATTCAAACTTTCAGTTAGTGAAGAGGCTGCTTGTCTGCTTCCTTGCTAG